TACTAAAAGACACATTTACTTTTCTCAGATCAATTTTTCTCAAGTTTCTCTTCAAAAATTCCATTGAATTTTGAACCAGAATTCCATTAAATTTATGGATACACCGAAAAACAATTATATTTTTACAATACTGAAATTCCTGCCCAGTAACATGCAGACATATGAATCCCTCTTTAAACAGACATATAGGCACACACACTCATAAATACATGTATATAATCTTTTAATGTAACTATAACTAGTCCACCAGCCCCACAAGAATGAATTTCTTAAATCACAAGATCTTAGAGATAGAGGGATATTACAGATCGCTTAGTCCAATGCCTCTTATAATTCCAGTTATGTTTACCTCAAGCCTACTTAAGAGAATCACTTTAAAATTAAAATATACCTTTTACATTCAACATAATCATAAAAGCATTATATGAATCACATAAAAGGCAGAGAAGTGGGCTACACTGATTGAAAACTGCTCTGAATTTAGGAATCCTTTAAAAAAAGGTAAGATGCATACTTGGGCTCAAAGGAAAAAACACTGAGTACCATAAGTGCATACACTGGAGACAGCCCCAAGTGCTTTTAGACATGCGTGTTTCCAAGGTGAAGTCATTTTGTTATGGTTTTGTCCAGGAACCAAACTTCAGAGTACCAAATTATTCCATTCCCAATTGTTCCATCATATTTATTGTTCATATTTATTAAGAACAAATCTAATAACAATCTCCAAATGAAACAAGCCTGAAACCCAATTCTAAATGTGTTTCTCAAATCTGGCTGCACATCTGACCACCTGTGGAGCTTCTAAAAATAACACTGCTTAGGTCCCATCTTGGGATTCTTCTTTAGCAGGCCCAGCAATGCGAGAACATTTCTTTTGTTTTGTTTTTTTTTGTATTTTTTTAAAGCTGTAATATGTTCTATTCTCAGCCAGAGTTAAAACACAACTATTCTAAAAACAAACAAACGAACAAAAAACACTATTCTAAAATATTTAATAAGACCAAAGCCCCATAGCATACACATTTAAAAAGTATATTTATTTACCTCTTCACCGGCCCAGCAACATTTACTGCTGATTATCTAGAGAGCTATGTCTCTATGACCAAAGTCTTAAAAACAAACAAAAAATACTAAAACAAAGCTTTACTGTTCAGATATGTGATGCCATTATAATATTTCAAGCTCCTTTTTCTTCTTTCTCCATCGAAGGCAATCCTCTACCCCAAAAGAAAGGGAAGCTGATATTCCCTTTAAAAATCACAAATACCATTAAGATCTTAAGCAATTCTTCTTTTACTTTGTAAAACAGAAGGGTGAAAGCATACTCATAAGAAATATAAATAAAAAGGGAGATTAGTGATTTAGCTAAGACATAAGTTGAAAATTCAAAGAACTGTTGCTTCTAGACTGCAGAGAACTGCCAACACACTTAAGCACCCTCTAAATGTAGCACAAGAGCAAAGAAAGGCTAAGATATTGAAGGAAAAACTTACATACAACAATGCAACATGCAAACTAAATCAAAATGTTCCTAAAGTCTAACCCTCCAAGAAAATGATCTCACTTTCTAATAACAACACATTGTACTGAATTAAGGCCCAGTGTGACTCATATTCCCAGTATGAGTGACTCATATACCTGTTACCCCTAGGAAAAGCACCTGCAAAATAGAACACATACGGCTACAAAGGAAGTTACATGTTAATTAAGAGGGTAAAAGATGCATTAAATAATCCCAGTAGTGCTATGCAAAGAAGGGTCATGACCAAGGCGTCCCACAGACTACCCTTCCATGCTCCAATTTTGGCCCAGCCAAAAATACTTTCCTACGTTCTGCAAAGTTTTTTGGTGAAAGAGATGTCCAGATTTTCCATCTTGAAAAGAAAGTCAACATGTATAGAAGTTTACCGCCTTACTATAAAGGCAAACTAAATTTTCTTAAGCACTGTGCTTTGTCCAAGCCGAAGTCAAATAATTTTACATTTAAAAAACAAAAGCATGTGAAGAGACAGGTACTCATGCTTTAGTGGAATCAGCTTTAACTATGTACAACTTCACCAACTCCTTTTCTTCTGTGGCCCAAGTCAATGATATAATTCTTAGATCTTAACCTTTATATAGCATGACCACATAAAATAGCAAAATTCAAGTAATTAATATGAATAAGAAAACAACTGTAACCCCAGAGGAGCTGCAGTAAAAACTGAGATGATGTATGTTTATACACACTGACAAGTAATTTGCCAAGAGATTAAAAACAAGAAAAGAATAAAACCCTTTCTCCTAAGCTTCTCATGTGAATTTCTATTCAAGCCACATGCCTAGCAGGTATTAAAGAGCAGACTCTGCTCCTGGAGTTTTTCAAGCACAACCAGCTTACTGGAAAAAAGATAAAAATAAAATCCTTCCTCAAGAAGTATTTCCTCTGAAGTATTGCTATGTGAGAATAAATAACTTCACTGAATTAGCATCTCTTTTAATACATTATACTTTTAAAACTTAATGAAATATTTAGACATATATTCTAATCTTGGGAAAAAAAAAAAGGACTAAAATAATGCAGACAAAATCACGTGCACCTTTTAAAACAAACCAAATAGCCTGGCAGGAGTGGCTCAGTGGTTGAGCGTTGACCTATGAACCAGGAGGTCACTGTTCAAGTCTGGTTGGGGCACATGCCCGGGTTGTGGATTGATACCCAGTGGGGGTGTGCAGGAGGCAGCTGATCAATGAGTCTCTCTCAACACTGATGTTTCTCTCTTCCTTTCCCTTCCTCTCCGAAATCAATAAAAACTCACTTAAAACACACACACACACACAAAAACAAATGTGTGTGTGTGTGTGTGTGTGTGTGTGTGTGTGTGTGTATCTGTAGACCTTGAAATATCAATGAATATCTGGGAAAATAATGCACTGCCATTTTAAACAGCCATAAAAGCTAAATTTACACTTAAAATGCACTTGTCAGTTTATTCCAAAATCTGGGACTTCTATTCTGCCCAAATACAATTAAGATTTAGGTCGGTTGAGGGAAAATTACCCTACCTAAGCTTACTACTAATAAATAGCTAGGGTGGATTACATTAGAAACAATTCTCTCAGGAATTTTAACCTGACACCAAGCTTTTGATTGCCCACACTTAGGAATCTAAGACATGGAGAGAGATAAGTGACTTCAGCTTGTTCAGTTATTAAATACATGCTGTTAAAGTTTGCTGCTATTTCAAAATCTTTCTCTTCTCCACAGTTTTTGTCCCTCTCCCCCTATATTCCTTTATACCTTATCAAGCTGGAAGAAATCACAATATGTATCCCCAATATCGAACACAGTACCTTAGATTCACTATTGGGTTTATGGGAGTTATAAGTTTAGATTTCAAATTCAAAATATTTTTCAAAATTGTACTTCACCACAAGCTATGCTCAAAATAGCTAAAAGTCAACTACTTTTTTTTTCTATTTCATTCCCCCCTCTCCTTATAAATTTATCAGCAGGAAACAAATTATCTACAGAAAATATAGCTAGAAAAAAGGCTGCTTGGTTCAATTCAGGAACACCAATAAACAACTCTGGGTGGACCAGGAAGCCACTCACATGTCCCCTATTCAGAATTTGCATGTAAATTTTGTGGGACAGAGTTCTTACAGTCACTTTCAAAATTCCACTAACTCAATACCATGCTTTCTGAAACATTTTTTTTTTTGAAATTCTGAACAAAGATCTGCACAAACATCCAAAAGACATGAACTTGATCTTAGTTATCTAAAATACTGAGCACCTAAAATCTCCTACTAGGTGGAGGAGTCAGAACAATCAAGGCAAAATGTCTTCTCACAGAAGCAAATTATCTCAAGAGCTCTGTGTAATTCATCCTCAATACGATTTTTTTTCTCTTGAAAATGCTCTTACCTACAACTCACTGTTCCCAAAATACACTCAAACTGATTTAAGTTTGAGAGCACAGATTTACCATGATTTTAATAGGATCATTTCCTTACTTTAGCCATGTAAGGCTGCTGGCAGGAAGCACATCTGCAAATGGTGTTTGAGGGATTCACCTGGCACACGGGAAATTTACAAAAGGGTTTCGAAAGTGCTGCAGGGCCAAGCTCAGGGCTTGTGGAGATGCACATCACCTACACACTGGCCTGGCTACCAAAACCGAGGTTCCATCGGAATAGGTGTCTGGGTGGCTGATTTTCAGGAGGTGAGAATTAAAAACAAACGCTTACACTCATCGCACACTACACAATTCTACCTGTCACTAAGAAAAGGGCACGTCTAATCCAGAGAGAGAGAAAAAAAAAAAAGTCATTTTTTTCCTTCAAGGAGGGCAGCGGTTTGGAATCATTTGCTGGGGATGGGATTGCAGGAAGGGGGAGGGGAGGGGGCGTGGAAGAAGGGAGTGCTAAATAAAGAGGCAGCAAGGGGGTTTGCACAGGGCCCCACACAGGCCACTGCGGAGAGAAGTCGGGGGAAGAGGGGAAGATGTCTCACCGGGGGACAAAACCGAGTGCAAACCGGCTGGAGGAAGGAAGGTTCCCACCACCACAGCCACCACCACCACTACCACCACCACCACCATCACCAAAGCTCCAACGGCTGGTTATCTTAAGATCCAGGGGAAAGAGACAACGGGGATGCCGAGGTCTACAGAGATGGGGGGAGGGGAAGGATGAGGCAGGGTCTCTCTGCTAAGTGCGAACCAAGGATGCAGACAAACAGCAGGACTTGGGCCTCCCTGGGCCAAAAGGCGTGGTCAAGGTTCCATCCAGATTAAAAAAAAAAAAAAAAGATGGGTCTTTTGGAGATGCCAGGGGGAAGTGCGCGTCCAGCCCCTCCTTCAAGACCCCGGGCCCGGCGCGTCCGAGGGGCCCACCTGCGAGGCACCCCGAGGGCGGAACGCGCCCCCCTAAGGCCCCGCCTCGCCCCGCGGGGCCCTTTCGCAGGACCGCTGGCCAAGCCCCCGCCCCCATCTCCATCCCCGCAGTGCTCTTACCTCCACACCTGCCCCATCTGCAGCAGGTGGATGACCGACTGCCAGATCCACACAGAGAGGCGGCAGAGGCGCTGCGCCCCCGGCGTGGCCGAGCCCCCCGCGCCCGGGCCGCCGCGGGCCGCGCCGTGGCCGTAGCCGGCCCCCATCATGGGGGGACCCCGGCTGCTGAGCCCCTCCACGGCGCCCAGCCCGCCGCCCGTGTAGTCCTGCACGAACCAGCGGAAGCTCAGGCTCTGCACCAGCAGCGACGGCACCAGCACGAAGAAGAGAGTCAGCCCGAAGTAGGTGTAGTCCCCCTTGCGGTAGTAGTCGAGGGCCAGCCACAGGTCGGTGCCCACGTCCCCGAAGAAGACCAGCAGCGCCAGCACGATCCACAGGCAGTCGAGCCACGGCCGCTCCACCTGCGGCGGCGGCGGCCGCGCGGCCGAGGGCGTCGGGGGGTGGCGGTCGGCGCCGGCGGCCCCAGGCGGCTGCAGCGGCTGGTCCCCCCCGTCGGCGGCGGCGGCGGCGTTGCGGCGCGGCTTCTTGCCCAGGAGGGAGCGCAGGCAGGCGGAGCGGCAGCCCCAGTAGCACGAGGAGGTGTTGCAGCAGTGGCAGATGTGCAGCGAGCTGCTCTCGCCGGGCTCGCTGCCGTCCCCGCCGCCGCCGCCGCCGCAGCCGCCTCCCCCGGGCTCCCCGTCCTCCTCGCCGCCGCTGCCCACCGCCTCGTCCAGGTTGTGCAGCTGGGCGAAGCCCACCCCCACGCCACCGCCATCGGATTTCGCCGCCATCTTGACTCTCTTCCCAGCTCCGGAGGTTGGGGGGGGAGGGACGGGTGGGGGGGAAAAAGAAGGCAGGGAACGGGGAGGGGGGGAGAAACGAATGGAGAGGAAGGGGGGCGGGGAGGAAGCGGGGGAGCTAACGAACGAGGGGGGAGTGGGCCGGGGAACCCCCTCCGCTTCCGGGTAGTCGGCGTCACTTCCGGGCGAGCCCCCCAATCACACGGCGTCCGTAGCTCCCCAGCCCTACCCACCCGGCCAAGATGGCCGCCCTCCTATGCCTCAGCTGCTGGGCGGGGGGCCGGGGGGTTCTCCCCGCCAGGGCTCCCCTTCCCCTCTTCCGTTGACCCCGAAACCCATCAGGTTGACCCCTCGGCGTTTCTGAACCCCGCTGGGACGAGTGAGGCGGTCCAAAGTGATTCCTGGAGGGGGCAGTGCCAGACGTTTTGGGGTCCCCTTCCTCAGCGTCGCAGCTCACAGCTTTCTTCCCGGAGAAACGCCCCCTAACACCCTCCCGGCCGCTGGCGGAGGGGCGGGACTTCTGGAGGAAGGGGCGGGGCTAGTGCAAAGCAGGTGATTACGTGTCACTTCCGGGAGATAGGATGACCTCATTGTATAGACACCCCCCCCTCCCCATCAGAATGGCTATGTCTCACCTCTTTGGCTGTTTCGTGTGTGTTTTTCTTTCAAAAGTACCTTTTATTCTTTTCTTGTTTGGGGGTCTTTAGAAATTACAGAAGTCAGTTTAGATTCCTACTCACAACATACTGATTCTCACTTCTATTTAAATACCTCTTTCCTCTTTTTACCTCTGTTGACCCCCAGATTTTCCTGTCCCTGACAACTTAACCATCTTTTGTAATAAAGTTTTCACAGTTCCCTTAAGAAAACTCAAGGCAAAATCCAGTTAAACATCAGCCTGATTGCATCTTGAGTGTTGGAGCAAAGACTGAATTGGCACATTGTGACCTTGAGTGTATCATCTTCCCCCACTGATGTATTTCTATCAACTTTTTTTTTAAGTATGAGATTTTAAAATTATGTGACTTTAATTTGGAAAATTTAGAGCTAGCAAGGGGTTAAGCTGTATCGATTATTTTTCAGGCTATTTGAATGTGTGAACATTGCCTTTTAGAATTTTTGGTGCTAAGGCTCTGACAGTAAACATAGCTTTAAATGAGTGAAAATGTTATCAATGTGCTATGTCATTAAAATAGGTGCAGGGTAAACTATTTAATCTTAACAAATTACAAAAGTGAAGCAGCACTGAATGGATTTGAATTATAATAATCTTTCAGTGAAAGTATATTTATAGAAAGTACCCATTGAGAATTTTTACACCAGTCATTTGCTTTGGGGGGTAGAGGAATAATTCCAAAATCTTTTGGATACAAGTCATATAGCTGTAGCCTTTTATTTCATGCTATGATTTAAGCCTCTTTTTCTATGGTAGTAATACTTCTAGCCAGCTGGAAAGGGTTATTTCTGCATATAGATGGGGTTCTATTTCTTTCTTTGCTGAATTTGAATTAACACCTGAGAAAGATGGCATAAACATACAGTAGGATTGCCCTGGGTTAGATCCCAATTCCACAGAAATAATGTGAATGATGTGAGCAAGAGAGCTGACATCTTTAAACTTCAATATCCTATTTATGTAATGGAAATAATAGTAGGGCTTTCTTTGAAAAGTTTTTGGACAAATTAAAAGTGGTAATCCATTCAAATCTCTCACCATGATACTTGATAGATAGTAATAGAGAATAAACATTAAATAAATGGTAATTGCCATTATCATTATTGTTATTATTATCACTATTGTTGTTATTATATTAGCATAGTACCATATAGTTGCTTAAATTGTATCATTCAAATTTAGTATCTCTAATAAATGAAAGTATTTTTAAGTAAGTATAGGAAATAGATACAATTAATTTGTGTTTTAAAATATATTTCCTCCATTTAAGCCTGTGAGGCTACAAAATGAGATTTAAAAGCAAGTAGTTATGGCATATTTATGAGTTATATTTCTCCGTGCCCTAAAAGAACATAAACTACTAATGAAATTAGTTAAGTAAGTTACACACACTCTATAAAGCTGACTAATGAGATTGAATCAAAAGTACTTTCACAATTGAAGTTTCAAGTAGATTTATAAGAATCACAGACTATCAAGTGATTTCAACTTCACATTTGCTGTTTCAACAATTTTATTCTGCATTATTGGGAAGTGATACTCTGTAGAACCCAGGAGGTTCTAAAATTAAAATATCTTACAATGATAATACAGCTATCATGAGACTCACTGAAAGGTTAACATAAATTTGGACTGTGTGATGGATGAATGGTACTTTATTTTTTACCTGGACTTTTGGAGCAATTAAGTATTCCAAGTAAGTTCATCACTTAGCACAGTACTGAACACTTCATGGGCTCTCAATAAATATTGGTTACATGAATGAATGAGTTGATTAAATTAATTTTCCAGATAACTGAAATTTACCCTTCCAAGTGTCCACCCAAATTGTATTTTATACTTCATAAAACCCATTGATGTATTAGAGAGATACCTCTATTTAGTAATAAGGGGTGTGGTGAATTAATAAAAAGAAATGCATTGCCCAAAGGTCTGCTTTAACAGCACACCAGTTAACCCCTTCCTGATGACTTGACTTTAAGGTGGTTTTATGCTAAGAAGCTCTAATTCCATGGGCCTGCTAAGGAGCCACCACTAGATACATTTGTTGTTGTTTACAAATAATTTTTTTTAATCTCTGCTTTTCATAGTGCAGTCAGTTAACAACTTTGACCCTTGTTACTTCCACTCAGATATAGGCTGGGAAACCAAACTATAAATATATAAAATAACAGTCCATTTTTAGAGCCTATTCCATGAGTAAAATAAGACAGAAACAATATATGGAAATTGTGGCATAGATTTTGGTTGTTTAGAAAAACCTTTGGGGTTTTTCTTCCCAATTCTCTGCTATTTTCAGAACAGCAAAGAGCGGAAAATTAGTATTGAAAGCTATTATATATTATACACTGTCCCAAATATTATTCCAAAATGCATGGAGATTAGTATCTCCATATAAATGGTCTAGAAAACAGCCTTGAGTCTACCAAATAACTTAGGTAGAGTCACATCCATGTGAGGCTTAATTCCAAAGCCTAAACCATTGCCCAGGGCCAAGAAGTTACTCTCCCCTAGAAATGAAGTCAGTGTTACTGTATTAGTACTGGAGAGACCCAATTATGATGATGATAACATATCTAGGAGACAGAAAACTTGAATTCCAACATGAAAATTTGCCCTAGCAAAAGCATTACGCAGGGGCTTCCTCAAACGTTCTTCACAAGGTTTTCCTAATGTGAGCCTGAGTAAAACCTCAAAACCATCAGGGGGATGTCATCCTTATCAATTTTATTCCTTGTATCATACTGTCTTCTATAGAAATAGGACTTTTTTGAGCACTGCAGAGTAAGCTCATAGAACCTATTATACCTTGAAGCTCCATTTCTGTATTTGATGTTAAGAAATGAAATTTCAGCAAGCACTCTCATATATTCCTGCTGGTGTTACAGAATGGCACAATTTCTATTGAAGGAAATGTCGCACTACCTGTCAAAATTAAAAATGCAATCACTCTATAAGATAGCAGTCCCTCTTATGGGAGTTTATAAATATGTATATGTCCAAAGTTACCTATGGTCAAGGTTATTCATGTAGCATTGTTTACAATAAAAAGGGGGGGGGGGGAGAAAAGAAAACCAAGTATCAATCCAAAGGGAAACTAGTTGACAGTATACTATGCAGTGATATTGAAATTTTATAGTTTTCTTTTTAGTGATATAGAGAGTTTGCAGGATATTTTGTTACACACACAAAAAAAGAGCAAGGCTTGCCCTGGCCAGTGTGGCCCAGTTGGTTGGGTGTGATCCTGTGCACCCAAAGATTGCTGCTTTGATTCCCAGTCAGGGCACATGCCCTGGTTTTGGGCTCAATCCCCGGTGTGGGAACGGGTGCAAGCAGCAGCCAACTGATGTTTTGCTGTCACATTGATGTTTCTCTCTCTCCCTTTCTATTTCTTTAATAATAAATAAATAAGTTAATAAATAAATAAATAAATAATCCACTTTAAAAAAAAAAAAAAAAAGAGCAAGGTGCAAAGCAATAAAGCACTTTCTGTAAGAAAGGGGGAGGGTAAATTTTCCTTGGGAGGAGAACCAAGATGGCAGCCAAAAGTAGGTAAATGCCAATACTCACCGCCTCCCACAACCACATCAAAATTACAACTAAAATACAGAACAACCATCATTCAAACCAGTCTGAAGTCTGGCTTAATGGAATTCCTGCAACTAGAAAAAGAAAGAAGAAAGTATGTCAAGACTGGTGGGAGGGGCAGAGGCACAGAAAGGGCTGGCCCAACACTCACATGTGGTGTGTTTTTAATCAGGAGGGAAAACTCCACGGCAAAGGCCTCCCATGAGAAGTAAATGGTTCCAGCCCCATACAAGACCCCCGTCCCTGTAACTTCAGGTTATAAAAACCAACGAGGCTTGTGGCTGAGTGACACAGAGGCTACTGGAGACCCTTCTGGGGGTTCCTTCCTTTTCTAGACATAGAGGCTGCCTGCCTGTTCCTTTTCCATCTTCAAAGGCAGCAATTGCTTCACCTCTGTGTCTGTCATCACAGCTCTTCTTATAACTGATGCTCCTTTCTCCCTGTCCCCCTTATAAAACCCCAACCAGATCACCTGGAATAATCTTCCCCATCTCGAAATACTTATTTTAAATACATCTGCAACTTCTTTTGCCGTGTAAGGTAACATATTCACAGATTCCAAGGATTAGGATGTGGCCATATTTCAGGGCTGTTATTCTATCATTCTCTATAACTTCTTCCTGATAAGCAAACCTGAGCTCACCATCTCTAGCCTTCAAATTGACTCTGTCCTCCAATTTTCTGACTGCTGTGATACCAGCCTCACTTGGTTATCCCAGAGCTCTAG